GGTGGGAGGGGTGCTGTGTCCAGGTAGCTTGAAGCCACATGGAGGAAAGTTCATTAAATGCTCTGAAGTGCTTTTCCAGGGGGAAAGAAAAAAGAATCCTATGTTGACTAACAAATTACCTGGAAGGACCCTGATAGCTTTAAAAGAAGTGCACCTCAAACACAAAAATGCTTGTACTTCTTCCAACTATGAGAAATTACTGATCATCTGCACTTAAAAGAGATAACATCAGCACTGACATTCTTAGACTATGACATCCCCTCTTAAAACTTTCATTTTTGGACTCACTTCAAAAAGTGTAAGTATTCTTAATAAAAGACATGAGTTGGGGCAACTGCTGGGAATTTCTGCAAACTACCACCCTTTCATCTAGGAGGCCCGCTCCTGCCAGGGATCTGAAGTGACTTCACCACATAAGTTCAAGAATCTGAATCCCCTCAACATGTGGGAAGTCAGCTCCAGGCAATGAACCTAGGGTGTGGAGAAGTCACTCTCATTCAACCCCTCCCCCTTTTTTTAACCTGCACAAGTACAGTCCTGGCTGGAACCTGCCTCAGACTTTCAAACACTCTTTTAATTAATGCTGCAATTTGTACTCTACCCTCCTATTTTTCAGAACACTTCAGAGAAATTGGAATGTCACTGAGGCTGCAGGAAGAAAGAAATATTCTGGACATTGTTCTAAAATTGTAATTTCTCATGTAATTGAAAACCCACAAGTGACGAGGCTGCCAGTTAAGAAATTGTTACTGTTCTTAAATGCTAATTATTGACAATGTTATCATATTATTAGAACCTAGCTGATGGTCACATATACAATGAAGCCTAATACAAATATCCTCTGAAAATGATAATATTGCTTCCAACCAAAGTCAAATTTGCTTACAGTGAGGTCTTTGCACTCTTTGGGTGCTAGGAGAGCCCGACTTTGTTTTTTTCTGTAAAGCGTCATCAGAACCTTCCATAGCAGCTTCAAAGCCTTGTTCAGAATCACTTGATCTTGATTTTCCTGCTTCATTTATATTGGACTTGTCAAGGTTTTCAGACATTCTCAATTAAGTTTATTCACTTTCCTTAAAAAAAAAAGAACCTAGGAGAGAGAAAAAAAAATGAAGCAAAATGTTCTAGCTTTGTCAGTGACTAGCAGCAGCATGACTCTAGGAAAATCATTTAATCTCTTTGGGTTTCAGCTTTCTCATCTGTAAAATAAATAGGCTTGCTAAGATCTTATCTAGCTACAACACTCTACTTCAATGATTAAACAGACACCTGTAAAATGACACTTGTTATTTATCAAGTTATGGACCTGTACCTCTGAGAGAGAGTAACACGTTTGAATATTTTGGTCCCGTTCCTGAGTACCACGTCATGAGAACACAGGGCTTTAAACTGTTAGAAGATAACACTATAAACTGCCTGCTCCTATTTTAATTCAAAGAGTGCTTCAATTCTTAAATTCTTTAGTTTCATCCCTGAGCACTGGTAGGAAAACTTTGGAGATAATGCTTTTGATCAGGCTTTCCAAGTGAACATGCTGGGCTGGAGTTGGTTTCCTGATCCCATTATGTGAGTAAGATACCTGGGATGACAGAGGGAAGGTAGACTCTGATGAAGCATTTAAGAAGAATGTGTGGGGCAAATACTTTTATTAACTTCTTGCCAGTCAGCAGAAAAGGATGGTGAGTAAAGCAGGGAGTTGTAAATAACCATGATATATGTGGTTGGGTGTGGCTTTCTTTTTTTTTTTCTTCTTTTTTTTGCACTGATTAGAATAGAAATAACACATCGGTTTGGGCCAGTTAAAGGCCTGGAACAGTAACCACAGTAAATTTCCTGTCAAGTTGTTCCCCCCACCCTAGTTTTAGAGTTCTCTATTCCTAAGGTGTTTCCAACTAAGGGAGAAGAAAGACATAATGTTCCTGCATTTCCACTACTGAAAATAATTAGTATTTGCATTATTAGCATTTGAAGATCACAAAACATTTTCATAAACACTAGACTTTATTACTACACCTGGGAGATAATCCAGAGATCAAAAGAAATGTCCACTGCTTCTGGGAGGTATGGCAGACTCTTTTCTGCACATTAGAGAAGAATCAATCACTTGATATAATAACCTGAAATTTTAGATACCTCCATTAAATAGAATGAAGTTACTGGAATTTACATTTTCAGGCCTATATTATTAATATGAAGATTGTTTCATTTTAAAAATTTTATTGTATTTTCTTGGAAGGCAGACTGCCAAATGCAGTGCCCCATTTGGATGTGTCTGGAGTCTTAGAAGCTTGACTACCCTACATTCTCCTACAAATGGACCTTGAGAGCTTGTTTGGAGGTTCTAGGAGGGGAAAGCAGCTACTCATATACCCCTGACCCAAGAACAGTGCTGTCCTCTATCGGGGAAGGTCGTCTTCTCGGACCTAGAGTGAAGCTTAGGGAGAAATGCATGTGGAGCGGTGAGGGAGGGAGGGAACACCTGCCTAGACAGCCAGATTAGCTGAATCAAGCCTCGCGATCAATACAGTGACCTGTTACAGCCAGATCACACTCGCATCCTGAAGACTGCTTGAAAGCAGTTCCCCTTTACCTTCCAACATCTCACTCTAGACACCAATCTCCTCTCAGTCCTAAACCCTATTTGGCTCTGGAAATGCTCCAAGACCCAAAAGATAGTGTTACCAGCATATCTTACGGGAAGGGACAAAGGAAAACACTTCTAATTTTATACTCTGCACAGGCTGGGAATGAGCTCAGAAAGGATGAAGTAATTCATTCTATGCAGTGAGGGGAAAGGGCAGGATTTCCAGATCTCTGACATGGCGCTCAGCTAAGGAGACTAACCCATCCTTTTAAGATTCGGCTCCAGTCCAAGCTCCTCCAGGACACTTCCCCAACCTCATCAATATTTGGACCTTTCTCTGAACTCCTGTAGGACTGGTTACTAGACATCTGGCAGTCATCCCTGCCTTAAATCCAGTTCAAAATATGCTTATTTAAATAGTAATAGGCCCGGCTGGGCATGGCTCAGCGGTTGAGCATCGGCCTGGGATCCAGGAGATCGTAGTTCGATTCCCAGTGGGGGCACATGCCTGGGTTTGCAGACTCCATCCCCAGTCGGGGACGTGCAGGAGGCAGCCGATCAACGGCTCTCTCATCATTGATGTTCCTATCTCTCTCTCTCTCTCTCTCTCTCTCCCCCTCTCCCTTCCTCTCTCTGAAATCAATGAAGATATATACATTTTTTAAAAACGAAAAATAAAAAATAGTAATAGAAAGATGAAAAGGCATGGTCTAGTCTGGGAGAGGCAGGCTTTGCTACAAGGAAACATAGTGAAACTTAAGCCTTAATGGCATTATGAAATCACTAAGGAAGCAGAGCAGAGGGAGAAACTAACTCTGCTTGGAAGGAGAGTCCAATAACCTTCCCAGAAAAGAGGACATTTGAGCTGGTCTTGCTGAAAAAAATTTGGATTCCATACAATTTAAAAACATGTCTGGAGCGGGAGAGGAGGGGAAAGAGGGTCACTTCACTCAGCACTAGCTGGAGGCACAGGAAAATGAGTAGAAGAAAGAGGCAGGTGACAAAAGCAAAAACATAAATTGTGGCCAGACTGTAAAATTGCTAGTTTTTATTTTTTTAAAAACCCTTCACCTAGATTTCCAACGCAAGGGCCAAGACCCACCCTAGTCCCCACACAGGCTGCAAACATCTGCACGTGCACCCCCAGGCGGTGCGCGAAGGCTCTGTGAGGTCAGCGCGTGGGGCCGGGCTGGGCGTCGGTCGCGGGCACCCATGGGTTCCAGTTCTCCACTAGCTGGGTGACTTCAGCCTGCTCCTCTGTAAAGGGCAGCTACACCCTACCTGCCTCTCAGGTTTGGGGGAAGTTTAAACGACAGAACTTGCGTAACACACGGCGCAGAGCCGGCTCCGCGCGGATGGTAATGAGGTTCCGGGCCTGCAGGGCGCGTTCATTCAACCACCGCCAGCCCCTGCTAAGCCCAGGGGCCCGCGGGCAGGAGGCTCCTCGCACCCGCCGCGAAGACCGTCCCTCTGCGCCTCGCGCCGGGCCCGAGCTGGGGCACGCGAGACGCCCCAGCAGAGAGGGGCTTTCGGCGGAATAACGGGGCTCGGCCCCCCCGCCGGGAGCCGCTTCCTCGGGCGCTCAGAGCCCCTCACTCCCCGCCTCCGTAAACAACCGTTTGGGCGAGGGAGTGGCCCGGCGGGGGGCCAGCCATGGATGCTGGGCGCGCTCGCAGGACGGCCTCGAGGGGTGGGACAAAGGCCGCGCTAAACCCGCCCGCGGTCGCGGCCCCTGCCTCGCCTCCACCCGCCATCACCGGGACCTGACCCGACGGGAGAAGGCGAAGAATTGCCTGTGATGTCGACCTCGCGCTTCCAGCCTCCGCGCCCTTTTCCCTCACCTGCCGCGGAGTCGGCGTTCTTCCTGCTGCCGCTGGGGCGGGGAATCTGGCTGGGCAGGCGCCGCTGTGGAGGCGGGGAGCGATGCGCGGCGGGCGGGGCGGTTCAGCCTCTGCCCCTCAAAGGCCGCATCCCTCGCCACGCAGCGAGCCGTCCTCCCCGCCCGGCTCGGGTGGGCAGCGACCGGCGGAGTCACTCCTTAGCGTCGGGAAGGGGGAGGCAGCTCTTAACCTGGAGACGTAACCCCCACTCGTGTAGGGCGGCGCCATGTTTGCGTACGGAAAGGTGGGGGGCGTGGCTCAGAACGGGGCCGCGCCATGTTTACGTACGGAAAGGCGGGCGCCGCGGCCGGGCGTTTCCCTCAGGGCGGCGGCCGAGGAGCGCGAGGTAGAGGAGGTGCGGCGTCAGGCAAGTGAAGAAGAGCTGGCCGCTTAGCCACTGCCCCATTCCAAGCCTTCCCGGCCCGGGATTTCAAATTTAAATATTACTTCAGGTGTTGTAGTTCACGTAGTAGTTTGTTCCTCTCCCCTCATTTTGACTGTTAGAAAAAGGCATGCCCACCGCCTGGATAGCCAGGCCTCGCTCTCATGTCGCAGACTAGGTTTAAGTTTGGGGCCAGCTCAGATTTAAGTGGCTGCCACACTTTGTCGATAGGAAGAGCGAGACTTTCGCTCTGAAAAGACGGAAGGCAGCGGGGGCAGAGGGTTCCCACGAGGGTTCAGCTTGGCTTAGGTCGTCCATGAGCGGGGGGCGCGGGGAGCCCTCGCGTCGGCCGTCGAGTTCTAGAAAGGACAGCTCT